TAGGGGTTTTGTCCATTCGCCCCCCCCCCTCCCTGTTCGCAGTTTGCAAACAGACATGACCTGAAATGGACATACTTCGAGGTTCCTGGTACTTATTAACCAATTGTAACTGTACTTATAATTATACTTATAAGCATCTTAGGGCACTGAAGGGCTTATAAGTGGGTTATAAGTACAGTTATAATTGGTTAATAATTACCATGAACCACCAAGTAGGCATTCCTGGTCTCATGTTCGCCCCTAACATCCCTGCATCCCTCATCGGCCGTGACAGTCTGGTGGGCCTAGGGTTTAGGGTTTAGGGTTTAGGGTTTAGGGTTTAGGGTTTAGGGTTTAGGGTTTAGGCTGAACGGCAACCCTAAACCTTAAGCCTTATCTAGGTCCGGTGTTTTGAGGCTATGCAGGGTTTCCAAGGCTTCGGGTTTAGGGGGTTTAGAGGGTTTAGGGAGTTAGGAGGTTTGGAAGGTTTAGGGTTTGTAAAGTTGGGGTTTAGGGTTTTTGGGCTTGAGGCGTTAAGGGTTTAGGGTTTAGGGGTTGGTGGTGGGGAGCATGTATACGGCCTCATAGCCCACCCCGGCAAGGGCTGAACCCCCAAAACCTGAACACGCGAACCCCGGCTCCTTCAGAAACCCCTCTTCAAGGTTCCTGGGTAGGGTTTAGGGGCTACTTTGAAGGGGTTATTCGAAGGGGTTACAGGTATGGTGTAATGGTTTTCAACCTCAGGCTGGGGGGGGGGGGGAGCTGTAACCCTGCAGAAGACAACCCACGAACCTGCAAGCAACCCCCGAAGCCCGGAAACCCTAAACCCTAACCCCGAAACCCTAAACCCAGTCCTGAAGTTGAGAAAGAAGCACATAGCCAGATGCTTGGCTCGCGGATCCTTGCTGAACCCTATAATCCTAAACCCTAAACCCTAAACCCTAAACCCTAAACCCTAAACCCTAAACCCTAAACCTCCTCCATGGCCTCAGCCCTCTATTTGGCAGGCTCGAAGTTCTAGTTCTGGCAGGCTCTCGGCTATGGGGTTGTACTTTGGACCATTAAGCTTGTACCCCTGGGTTTCGGGGGGTTCATAGGGTTTAGGATTAGGGTTTATAGGGTTTAAGGTCTAGGGTTAGGGGACGGGGGGGAGGGGGGGACCGGGGGCGGGGGGGGGAAGGAGGGGGGCCCGCCAAACGCGGCCCGGGGCCAAGAAGCTCCCCAAGCCCACAGCCCCGACAACGATAAGAAGATTGCAGGGGGTTTTGCGGGTTTAGGGCTTCGGGTTGGGGGACTTGGGCTGTAGGGCTTGAGAGGTTTAGGGCCTCTTGGGTCGGCGGCCTGAGCCGGAGGCTCCTAAATGTAAGGGCCATAAACGGAGTACCCTAAGGGTCCCTGCACCTCATTCTATGGGCCCAAAGTCCCTATATAGGAAGTGCTTTAAGGCCCTAAACCCTAAACCCTAAACCCTGAACCCTATGTAATAATGAGGTACATAGAGCCTTTGGAGTATGTTCAGGGGGGGGCCTTTAGGGGTACAACTTTAGGGTTTAGGGTTTAGGGGTGCGAGTCTTAATCCCTTGAAAGCTTGCAGGCGCAGGCTTTACAACTAAACCCTGAACCTTACACTCAGTAACCATATTCTCATATGCCCTCAACCCTGGGAACCTTGAAGCAATCTTCCAACCCCCCCCCCCCCCCCCCCCCCCCCCCCCCCCCCCCCCCCCCCCCCCCCCCCCCCCCCCCCCCCCCCCCCCCCCCCTCACCCCTCAAACCCTGAACCCTAAGCCCTAAACCCTAAACCCCCCAGTCCACACCAAGAGTCTGCGGACCAAGAGTGGCTCACAAAGACATCGACATGCTGAACTTTCCTGGCTGGGTTTAGGGTCTAGGGTCTAGGGTCTAGGGTCTAGGGTTTAGGGTTTAGGGTTTAGGGTTTAGGGTTTAGGGTTTAGGGTTTAGGGTTTAGGGTTTAGGGTTTAGGGTATAGGGTTTAGGGTTTAGGGTTTAGGGTTTAGGGTTTAGGCCCCTTTAGCACATTAGGGGAATTTTGGCTCTTTGATCGGCAAAGGGTTGATAAAGGGCGCACAGGACGTAGAGCCAGGCTTTGGCCACACGAATTCCGAGCACATAGACACAAAACCGCAGGTTCGGAGCCCAGCACCGGCAGAGGTTTAAGGTTTAGGGTTTAGGGTTTAGGGTTTAGGGTTTAGGGTTTAGGGTTTAAGGGCTGAGGGTTGCTTCCCAGACCTTCGGGAAGATCCAAAAAGCAGAAAGTACCCTATACGACTAGTGGGTCATTCCTAGAAACCCTTAAGGGGATCTACTTTGTGGATCCTCCCAGGGGTCTGGGTTTGGCAGCAGGATGAACACAAAACTCTACAATCAACATCCACATGTGGAGGTCTGTCGGGTAGATGCTGGCATGTTGCCCCTTATACTAACAGTCCTCAACAGGGATTATGCTTGGGGTACTAGAATCCCTCTTCAGGACTTTTAGAAGAAGCCCCCCCCAATAAACCAATACTAAACCCTAAACCCATGCCTACCCCGAAAAGACTTACCAAAAAGGGCGGCTGAGGGTCCAAGATAGCCACAACACTAACTTTAGGGTTTGGGGTTTAGAGGGTTTAGGGTTAGGCTTTAACCAGAGTAGGTACAGGGTTAGGGACATGGAGTAGCCGAAAGACCGTTTCGGGTACTTTAATTTAGGTATACCGGTCACCCACAAAGGGAGGAAAAGAACCAAACTAGGGCGGTACGTTTCTCTTAAGGGTACATCGGCTACTCTTGGATTGGCTCTATACCCTAAACCCTAAACCCTAAAGCCTAAACCCTAAAGCCTAAACCCTAAACCCCAATTTGGGAGGACCCCCCAATTTGGGAGGGTAAGTCGTCCAAAGGCACTCCGTGGCGTGGAAGTCGGCAGAGTCCAGGACCTCATTGTCTGCTTCTTGAGACCATACCTGTCCTTAGCTCGGATGGCCCTGAAAAACCCACTGAAAACAGGTTTAGGGTTTAGGGTTTAGGGTGTAGGGTATCCTCTTAAACCCAATAAGGGAAAATACAAAAAAACATCCCAAGGGCCGATCTCGCGCTGCTTGGGGTGGGTTCGTTGAGCCTCTGGGGTTCAAACTGTCTGTTGCTCTGCATTTCTTGCTGGAATCCGGTGCTTTTAAGTGCGCAGCTCGGGGAAGCTGTTCAACATAGTGGACAAGCAATGCTGTGCGCGCGCGAGGTTGGGCCAGGGAAGGCTCTTCCACGTGCATGCAACGACCAAGAGGCCAAGACAGCAGGCCTCCACGGTACACAGAATGAGCCAACAACCCTTACGCGCCCCAGGAGCATCTAGTCTATAACTCAAGAACATCCATGCTTGAGCGGCCATTCCGCAGCATCAAGTGCCCCACCCCCCCCCCCCCCCTTTTCCGCGCAGATTCCCAAAGGACACCAAAGCGAGGTGGACTGCCCAAGATCACGAGCCCACTCTTGGATTTCTACACGCAATGCACTTCTGCGTAGCAAACCCACTACCGCGGCTAGGAGTTCTGCGTGTCTCAGGCCAAGCCGAGTGGCCGAAGCCTGCAAGGACGCTGCAACCCGTTGTCGCCCGGAACAAGCCCTGCTGAAATAGATCGCGAGCCTGGTCCTTCCAATTGTCCATGGCAACGGCACTGTGAACAAGCTAGGATCAAAGGTTGAAATGTGCTTGTATGATGTACAAACTCAAACCCTAACCGGCCCTAACCCTAACCCTAAACCGCTAGACCCTCAGCAACATGTCATGCGTGCCTAAGCCGTGCACTACTCCAAGCCCTATATACTTATAACCCCGAAGCCGCCCAAGCTCTACCTTGAGAGTAACCTATATATCCTGATAAACAAAAGCGCCATGTCTTAGGCATAGTTGCTGAACTACGGTTTAGGTCCATGCTTTAGGGGGAGGGGTTGGCGGTATACTGCATGAGCGACTCGAGGTACACCCTCAAAAAACCCTCTAAGCCCCACGCAATGAACCCTCTCTAAACCCTAACCCTTAACCCTAAACCCTTTTTTGATCCTGCCAGCTGCAGCCAAGCCGAGGTCCGTCGCAGATTTTTGGTGTGGCTGGCGTTGTTTTTGTGTGTTTTTGGAGGTCATCGGGCTCGAAACGAACCCTAAGGGTCCATGTACCCAAATAGGGTTTGGGGTTTAGGGTTTAGGGTCCATGTACCTAAATCTGGAACACTTGGGCCTTAAAGTACCTCCTATACAGGGACTTTGGGGCCCAAGTATATAATAATGAGGTACATGGACCCTGCGGGGAAATCTTCTGAGGAAGCGGAAGCACACACAGAGGCAAAGGTTGAGGAAGACGTTTGCAAAAGGCACCTCAACCCCAACCCTAAACCTTATAAACCCCAAACCCCATAAAACCCAAAATGAAGGCCACGACGTTAGTACAAGACATGATGGGTTGTTAGGATCGACTGCTAGGGTACCCAAATAGAACCCAGATTGCTCAAATTTAGCTAAGGGCCCCAGAGAAAAACATATAATCTCAAGCGAGAGTCCCCAAATAAGAAACTATAGGGCATTTGGACCCCCTGGATTACTTCATCATATCCCCCTTAAAGGGGAGGCCTTATGCTCCAATAGTCGGATTCTCATGTTCATGTGGCTTTTTGGGTCGCCGTGCTACTCTACTATTTGCTCATGAATCCCCCCCAAAACATGATTATAATACCTAAGAAGAATCTGTTTATATAATTAGTCGGGGGGTTCTTCAGCAAATACTAGACCCAAGAGTAGCCTCGGAATACAAATCGCGCCCTTTTTGGTTTAGAGGGGATTATAAGTCCTAAAGACAGGGAATGAGGGCAAAAACCCAATAAGGGAACAATATGAAATGTCCGAAGGGCCTACCCAGTAGCCCTAAACCCTAAACTCTAAACCCCAAAGAAAGGGAATAAGGGCCTACCTAGTAGTAGAAATGAGCCTTTTCAAGGGTAAAAGTACTACGTCCACCCCGGGGGTGTGGCCATCGACGCGTGCGGCGTCACGGCCGCAGGCCTGCCAGGGAATGCATGTAGAGACTAGGGTCTAGGGTTAAGAGTTAAGGGTTCGGGTTTAGGGTTTAGGGTTTAGGGTTTAGGGTTTAGGGTTTAGGGTTTAGGGTTTAGGGTTTAGGGTTTAGGGTTTAGGGTTTAGGGTTTAGGGTTTAGGGCTACGATCGGGGCGTTCGCCACGGTTGCCCGCTCTCTCTCGTCCATCCTTTCCTGCCTTCCCTCTTGTAGATTCTGTCTGTCGTTGTTTCTTGCTTTCTGCCTTTCTCTGACGCAGTATTTTACAGACGTTACACCCCAATATAGGTGTCCCTAAGGGTCCATGTACCTTATTATTATATACTTGGGCCCCAAAGTCCCTATATAGGAAGTACTTTAAGGCCCAAGTATATAATAATGAGGTACATGGACCCTTAGGGTGTTATTTGTATACTTGCAGACCTCGGGCCTCATTGCCTCTACTCTCCCCCGCTCTGCTCCGCGGTCGCCATGCGAGCCCAGAGTCGAAATCTAGGGCCCTCGAGGCTTGGAGGGCACAAGAGCAACTAGTGGGGGGGGGGGGGGGGGCACTGAACATGATAGCCTCATTGGGTTTAGGGCTTAGGGCTTAGGGGTTTAGGGCTTTAGGGGTTTAGGGCTTTAGGGTTTAGGGCTTAAGAAGGTGCTCCTGTTGGGAATGCTTCTTTTTCTCGCCTGCCTCACGTTCGCTGAGTCGCATGTAGCCACCCTCAGCCCCAAGCCCTAAGCCCTGCCTATAAACCCTAAACTGGGTCCTTGTTGGGGTTACATTAAAAATGTCAAATTTAATCTGATCGGGTTTCTATGATACCAAACAAATTAAAACTAAAGCCAACAAGGACCCAGTAAACCCTAGCATTCCACAAACCCTAAACCCTAAACCCTAAACCCTAAACCCTAAACCCTAGACCCTAGACCCTAAACCCTAAACCCCAAACCCTAAACCCTAGCATTCCACAAAGGAACTGCACTTGGAATCTAGGGGCAACCCTGGACCTTTTTTGTGATCGATGCAGGGCCTGCAAGTAGCGCGCCAGGAAGGTAAGCGGGTCCTGCTTGCATGGGTTTAGGCTTGGGGCTTGGGGCTTGGGGCTTGGGGCTTGGGGCTTGGGGCTTGGGGCTTGGGGCTTGGGGCTTGGGGCTTGGGGCTTGGGGCTTGGGGCTTAGGGTTTGGGGCTTAGGGTTTGGGGTTTTGGGTTTGGGGTCTAGGGTTTAGGGTTCAGGTTTTCCGATATTCCGAGAAAGGTTGCCTAGGATGGCCAAGGCCCTGCCAGGCCATGCCTGCGCAAAGGCGCTGCAGGCGCGTTTGGGAAAACGATAGAACCCTAAACCGGCTCTGTTGCAAGGCCTGGGGGATATACCCTCTTAAGATAGTCGGCTTGCCTTGTAGGTCCAAGGATAGCCTACTTCGCTCGCCGAATCACCATAAAAAAAACACACATCATGAACCCTGAACGTTACACCCAGAACAGGGGTGCAAGTAAAGAGTGGTGGGGTCTCCTACATGTAGGGTTAGTGCTGCTACCGTGTGTGGAGGTCTAAACTCTAAAGGGGGGAGCCTAATGCGTGGAAACTGCCAGATACCCAATCATTCGATGATTTAGGCATCTGTCCCCCCATGCCGAATTTTCAGGTAGGTGTACTTTCTTTTGTGCCCTTTATGAAGGTCACTCTAGGCACTGTCCCGCATGCCTTATGTTAAGGTAGGTGTACTTTCCTTTTTTTGCGCTCCTAAAGGCCACTAAACCATAAACCCTAAACCCTAAACCCTAAACCGTAAACCGTAAACCCTAAACCCTAAACCCTAAACCCTAAACCCAAAACCCACTCCAGGTACCTCATCTTCCCAAAGTGAAGCTGAAACCAAAGATAGCGCGGCGTCAGAGTTCTACATCTTTCTGGCCCCCAGACTCGGCCTTACTAGAGCTCTCCCCTCCCTCTACCCCTTCACCCACACAAGCCCCCCCCCTACACCCACCCTACCCCACCCACCCACCCGCCCCCCTGAACCCCCTAAACCCTGTAAAGCCCCTAAACCCTAAACCCTAAACCCTATAACCTATAACCCTAAACCCTAAACCCTAAACCCTAAACCTCCTCAAACCTCCTCAGACCTTAAATCGACAGCTTTGCAAGCAATGCACCGCAAGCCTCGGGCTGCTCCCGGGTCACGGCACGTACTGCGGAGAGGAGGTGCTCCTGCACAAGGGTTTAGGTTTAGAGTTAGGGTTTAGGGTTTAGGGTTGAGGGTTGAGGGTTGATGGTTGAGGGTTGAGGGTTGAGGGTTGCGGGTTGCGGGTTGCGGGTTGAGGGTGTAGGGTGTAGGGTGTAGGGTGTAGGGTGTAGGGTGTAGGGTTTAGGGGTTAGGGTTTTGAAATTTAGGGGTGTCGGCTTGAACTTTCCAGGAGCCAAATGCTGTGTGCTTCAGCATTCTAGTCGCCTGGCCAGTATGGCCCCTGTAGTATCGGGAGCGCCATGTACTCCCATTGTGATTTTTGTTTACTGGGCACGTAGCTTTATAGTTCGGATGATATACTAAGAGCATAGTGTAGTCCGAAAAAAGAACGGCAACTGGAGGTCTAGCTAGGTCTCTAAACTCGATGGACTCTCCGTTAGTATATGTTGAAACACTCAAGCACTAAGAGCCTGTAAAACCCTAAACCCTACACCCTACACCCTAAACCCTATAACCCTAAACATCCCTAAACCCTAAACCCTTTGAGCAAAGCAAAATGCAGGCCAGGAAGGCCCGAATGCCAGCGCGGGCGACGTAGTCCAGTGCGGTCTCCTTTCCATCCCCATTCCAGCGGCTCCTGGTGCGAAGATGATGAGGTTCTTCAGGGAGGGGGGTTCATTCAGGTAAAAGGGTCCTTAAGCAAGGGTTTAGGGTTGCGGTTTACGGTTTAGGGTTTGGGGTTTAGGGTTTAGGGTTTAGGGTTTCGGGTTGAGGGTTGAGGGTTCGGGGTTTAGGGTTTAGGGTTTAGGGTTCTTGAGGGAGGGGGATTCATGGTGGGTAGGTACCTAGGGAACCTTAGGGAAGCTTCGGGTGCCTCAGGGAGTAGTGGGGAGTATTCGGAAACCTTGGGTTACCTGCATTCGAGTTCTGAGACAAGCCGACCACTGCGTGTGAGGGCGGCACACACAAAACCGAAAGCCTCCAATCACCTGCTCCCAACACTCCCGTTCGATGCACAGACTGCGTGTGAGCCCAAACAAGCAAGCGAACGGAGCAGAAGGTGGCCAGGCTTGATGCCTACAAGCGGAGGCTGTGAAGGCAGAATGCAGCAACCGGGCCCAAGATGTGTTGCCAGTCGTCCCCCTATCACACGCGCCTCAGACGCCGAGGTCGCGGGCGCCAGACATGACCATGCCCGTCCGACACCCCCCCCTCCCTACGCCGGGTGCTCCCGAGCGCAGCTGTCCTGAATCCAGTGGGTCGCGGGCAGAAGACGTGGAGAGGCCCGTCAACTGCCCCACCCTAACTACGCTGGGTCCTCCCACGCGCAGCCTGCTCGCAATTTACCCACAAGGCCTCGTGTGCACGACCATTCAGCCCGCCATCAAAGTTGCAGCGGCCAAGCTTGCCCCAGCAGGCGTAGATGCCTCAGCCGCCTCCGCCCGACGGCACAGAGCCGCGCGAGCTCTGAAGCTGCGGACCACGACGCAAAGATCTTGCAGGAGCTCAGCGTGGAGCAACGAGGCATCCGCCCCCTCACGGGCCGCCACAGCCCGGGAAATGTGCGAGAGTACCTGCGCGGCTTCTGGCTCCCAAGCGCCGGTGGCCTCAACGACCAAGGGGACGAAGCGCACTCCTTGCCCTCGACAAGTCTCGGCAGTGTTGAGGTGCTGTCGTTTGACATCCGCGTAAGCAGTGGCCGCGGCCAGGGCTTTGCGCGCTGCCTCGCCGAGGGTCTCCAATCGCTGTGGGCCGGTCACGGCCAAGTCAAATGCAACGGGAGACCCCAAGTAAGAGGGCACAAAAATGTCAGCTGGCCGTCTTCTGTCGAGACCAGTTTCCTCTGGGCGCTGAGGCAGGAGGAGCCCCACTTTTTCGCGCTCCGGCTGGAGGCCAGCCCTGTCGGCCCAGGTGCAAAGGATGTCACGAAGGGCATTATGCCGCAAGGTGCGCTCACCGCCCGCAGCGCAAAGCCCTGCATGGTGTGAGAACCGATCAAGGATGCTGTCGCAGCGAGGGCACCAAGAGTCCTCAGCAGCCTCAGGCACCCCCAATCTCTGGCGAAGCTCTGCAACAAAAGCAGCAGGTTCCATGCGCTTTCGTCCAGCCGGCACAGCTGCCAGGAAGGCGCGGGCCCCCGGCTCGGCCTCAGAGCGGAGAGTGGCCTGCGCCACGATGGTTGCACCCGCCAGGCGTCGCTGCCAGGCAGCAGCGTCCATCCCCTTGGTCAAGTCCTTCTGCCGGAGCGACAACGCAGTGGAGGCCGAGAGCGGAGCGGTTCCTTGCTGATTGACTAAGGCGAGGGCGTGGAGCACATCCGGGCGTGTGGGGAGCGCAGCCGCGGAGAACTGGGCATCGACTTGAGCGCATCGGTCGGAGCAACCCCCAACCGAGGCCAGGTAAGCAGCCGGGGCGTCTCTGGCGGCTGAGCGCAACCCCAAGCCACTCTGTCCCAGACCAAGGGCAGCTTGTTCCCGCTGAGCTGCGTCGAGGTGGAGGCCCGTCAGATTGCTGAGGCAGCGGCACACGAGCTCATCGAAGTCCCGGAAAGCATGCAGTTGAGGGTCGGTCGGCACGCACCTCATGCTATGAACGATACGGCTGTGCCCAGCACAGGCGCGCAGCAGACGGAGCCCGACCTGGGGATCCTCAAGCTGGCCGACTGCCTCCAAGAGACCCTTGGCGGCCTGAACACGGGCACTGGTGTGCGTTTGCGCGAAGGTCGAGTGTCCTATGGGTGCCCCCAAGAGTTCGAAGTCACGGAGCACCCTGCTGCTGCCATCAGTCCTGCGTATGAGTGTGTCCGGGAAACTCCCCGCCAGTTCCTCTGCAGAAGTGTTACCCACTGCCACGAGCTCGCCCTTTGCTAAGTTGAGGCGGAGGCCGAGTGTGCCTGCGCGGTCTTGAATGTGTTGGAGAGCCGCCCTAACTGCAGCGACGTCACCAGCCAGGACGCCGTCATCCAGGTAGAAGAGGCTGAGGTCAAGGCCGGCGCGTAGCTCCGTAGCAAGAGGTTGGACAACGGCCGCAAACAGGAGTGGGCCTAAAGGGTCCCCTTGCTGCACCCCCGATGCTGAGGGAAGCACTGTGCTCCCAAACCGCAGGTCGGTGTGCTTGCCATAAGTCCAGGCCACCCATCGCGCTAGCGCGGGAAAGTGGCTCCGTGTGCAAGCCAGGACCTGACTTCGGCTGACGCGGTTGAAGGCATTCTCGAAGTCCAGTTTGAGGAGCACCTTGCCAGTCGAGCACGAGTGGCGATCCATCCAGGCACGGACGGTGTGCACAGCCACTTCAGTTCCGGCAGGAACTGCCACACCCAGCTGTGCCGGGAAGAAGTGCTCTTGCGCAGAGGCACGGACATGACTCATCAGGCACTTGCCTGTCAGGCGGCGCAGGATTTCACCAATGGCGATAGGCCGGACGCCGCCCTTGGGCTTGGGGACGGCCACAAGGCCAGCCCCAGCAAGAACTGGCGCCACCTCAGGACAGGCGTGGCCGCTGGCAAGAAGGTTTACCACGGCAGCGAGTTGTTCAAGGAGCCCAGCAGCCGTCCCAGGAGTGCAGGCCTCACGCAAGTGCTGGACCCGCAGGCCAGAGGGGCCGGGCGCCGAAGCAGCAGGAAAGCTCCGTAAAGCCTTTGCAACCACATCTGGAACGAGTTGGGGGGCGGGCGGAAGCTCATGCACGGGGGGGGTGTCCGGGGCTGGCTGTTGCGGGTGCAAGTTCTGGAGGGCGGCCGTAGTTTCCGCAGTCTCACGCGCGAGCCCGGTGGCGAGGAGAGCAGAGCAAGCCTTGCTGTCGAACCCTTCACGAGCCAAGCTGGTGGCCAAGTCTCTGCGCTCCGCGTCACTGAGAGGGCGGCGGGGCCCCTGTTGAGGCATCTGTCGGGAGACCCACAGCTCAAGCCGCTCACCTTCCTCCCAGCGCTTTAGGCGGTCCAAAGTGTAGGACGCAGCAGCCTTGGCGTGCTTTCTGCCACCGCGACGCGGCGCATCAAGGACACACTGCGGCAGCATCAGCAGTTCCTGCCAAGACCTCAGGTCGTTGTGGTGGGTAACAGCGGCCAAGGCCCGCGTGAGGACACGTGCCCAAGTGGACCGGGCAGCGTGCGGAACATGGCGAAGGGTGGGCGTTCGACCTGCCTGGACCTCCTGAAGGGTCGGGAGTTGTGGGCCCACCTCCTGGCGGGCTGCACAGGGAGTGCCGGCAGCTTGTCGAGCGGCAGGCCGGCAAGTAGGATGGACGCCATGTTGAGTGGAAACGCTACACCCGCACACAGGGCAGCGCTGCCGTCTCTTGCTTTGCATCCAAGATGCGGGCACCTCACCCTGCAGGCTTCCAGTTAGGTGGGCATCAATGTGGGCCCGCATGCCAGCATCACTTGCCCAACCTCTGGCCTTACGAGGGTCGCCACACATGCACCCAGGAACAGGGCAGTACACCCTGCCGGAAGCAGTGGCAGGTTCCCCTGGAACGCCATCTCCATCCACATCCATGGCCTCTTCGTCACGCAGTCGGCGGCGGTAAGGCCGCTCGCCGCCCACAGGCGTCCCGGGAGCTGGTCCGGGGTTTTGCGCTTCGCCAATGCGCCGGCCCCTGTGCGGCCAACCATACCAGCAGTCTCTGGTCTTGTATGGGGGCTTCCGCAAAAAGAGGCAAGGAGGCCGTCGGCGCCGCAACCGCACACGAGGAGGGCTCCATAGGCCAAGCCCATCCAGGAGCGGCCTCTGTGAGTGCGTTTCAGGTTGCCAAGCGTGGTTGAGTAGCAGAGTCAGTTTGCGACGCTCGCGGCGCCCAATGAGTGGCCAGTGGTCCAGGTGCTGCAGGCTGTCCGAAGGGGCTCGAGGACTGGAGGACGCAGGTCGCGATGCACAATACGCCTTGCCAGCCACAACACGGCACCCCCAGAGCCAGAGACAATACACTATCCAGCTGGTCATCAAACCACGACGCCCCCGAAGTCCCGGAGGGGTCAGGCAGCGCAAGCGGCCAGGGTCATGGCTGGCTATTGGGGTGTTGGGGTCGGGTTACCTACCCCTTGAACCCCCCGCCACTAAGGACTCTGTAAGAAGAAGAGTCGCTGTTGTTTGAATTGAAGGGTACGCACGATGTACAACTCTCCTGCTACGTATACGCGGTCGCCTGACACAGGGCGCAAATTGAAGAGCAGACGCATGGACTCTCCTGCTACGTGTACCCTGAACCCTGAAACCTAAACCCTTTGATCTTCTGACGAAAGAAACATTGACTGGCAGGCGCAACCTGAATGTGCATGCACGAGACCCTGAACTTTAAGTTTCAATGGGGGAATAGGATGTGTGTATAATATTATCACATAAATAAAATAAGTACACAAATAAACGTATATACATATACATATAAATACAGATATATTGTAAGCATGATCGTAATAAGTTACACAATCATAAGAAACATATTAAAACAACAACAATATACAAACTAGTAATAATACTAATCATCATAATAACATAACAAAAGCAATAATAATAGTAATATTAATAATCATAATCACAACAATAATCATACAAATGCTACCAATAACAATAATAACAAAAGTCGTGATAGTATTTTTTAACAATCATCATCATCATCATCATCATCACCATCACAACAATATTCATAATGACAATAGCAAATAGCCATAATAGTAACAATAATCATAAGAATGACAATAATAAGAACAATGATCATTATTACAAGAGCAGTAAGAAGCCGGGAAATCATGACAATAAGTATCATGATGAGAAAACAATGAGAACAATGTATAACCACAATAATACTAATGTATAGAATGATACACTTTGGTTATTTATGTATTTAATGATTGTGCGTTATATAGCCCCTGAACGACCCCCGCACTCCGCCTTTCAGCCGTTGTTGGCTGCTTGCTGGTCAGGAGTGTCCGCACCTGGAAGTGAGGAGCAGCTTTAGGGCTTGCGGTCGTAGGTTTAGGGTTCAGGGTTCCGGGTTCAGGGTTCAGGGTTTAGCGTTTAGGGTTTATGTAGGGTTTAGGGTTTAGGTTTAAGGATTTAGAGTCTAGAGAAAAGGGTTTAAGTCATCGGTGTCGGGCCTGCTAGACTCTCTGAATCGCGGCAGTTGGGTTCAGGGTTTCGGGGTTCGGGGCTTAGCGATTCTTGAGTGCAGGAGGGTGCGGGACACCATGTCACCAAGCAAGTCCAAAACAACAATAACGCAGCTATGAAGGACGCATGCTCTTATAAGTTTACCAGCTTACATGGGGCAACCCCAAACCCTAGACCTTAAACCCCTAAACCTGCAAACCCCTGAATCCTGAAACCTGGACAAAGCGCTCAAAGGCCAGCACTCTTGCGGGCTGTACTTGGGGCGTGATTCGGGGCCTGGGATGTGGGGGTTTGCAGAACTTGAGGGTAGCGAATTAGGAGTATAATCGCGGATACTTGAGGGGGGGGTTTAGGGTTTAGGATCCCTAAACCCTAAACCCTAAACCCTAAACCCTAAACCCCCAAAACCCTAAACCTCAAGGGTCTCTGTAGGGTCCATGGCCTCTGCAGATGCAATACCCCCTGCCGGGCATGTCGCGGATGGCACCTTACTTTCGAGGCTTCGGGCGCTGTGTTCGCCCTAAACCCTAAACCCTAAACCCTAAACCCTAAACCCTAAACCCTAAACCCTAGACAGTGCCTGATTGGAACCCCTGATTCTGAGCTCCGGCTCGTGGCCTTGGGGAGTTTGGGGCTTAGGGTTTGGCAAGCCTTCAACGCAAAGCCCCAAGATCTTAAACTCTGACGTTTAGGGTTTAGGGTTTAGGGTTTAGGGTTTAGGGTTTAGGGGACCGACACCTTCAAATACCCGCAGGACCCAACCCCCAAAAAGACTTGGGCAATACCCCCGAAACCACCTTGGTTGAACCTCCTGAGACATGAACAAGGAGAGGTTTGGGGTTCAGGGTTTCCGGAGCCCTTCTAATCTTCTGCTCCTCCCACATGCACCAACATCCCGGAGTTATGGAATAGTCCCAACACATTGGCGGATCCGGATGTGATGTGAGAAAAACCCTTCATTCATTGATACTGCCAGTATCATACTGGAGTCCCTGGGTAGCCTGGCTTTTAAGCCCTCGCAGATGAGATTTCCTACATGAAGGGCTAGGTGTTAGGGTGTAGGGTTTAGGGCTTATATAATAACACCCGAGAAGTCACATGCAACATATCCCAATGCCAAAGTCCTGACACAAATACACTGCGCCCACGAGAGTCCTCAATTTGAAATTCCACATCCAAAATCCCAAAACCCACAGCCAAAACCCTAAATTGTCATTCTAAACTGCAAGAGTTCAGCTCTTTCTCCAAGATCCTACGTGACTGCCTGCTGCTACTGCGGTGAGACGATCACTTTGCATCGCCAGCAGACGACATCATGGGTACTTTTTCGGTGTGTTCATTTGCTTGGGTGTCAGGACTTTAAAGGTATCAGAGTTTATAGGGTTTTAAGCTTCCCAAACCCTAAACCCTAAACCCTAAACCCTAAACCCTAAACCCTAAGCCCTAAACCCATATCTGCCGTGGCTTGGGATGCACCTTCGGGGCCAGGAGATGGTGTGCAGGAATGCTTCGTGGTGTGGGCTACAGCCCACCCAACCCTTTCGAAAGCTCACAGACATCTGCTAATCCCTACACTCAACATAAAAGGTTTAGGGGCTTAGGGGTTTAGGGTTTAGGGATTTAGGATTTAGGGTTTAGGGTTTAGGGGTTTGAGGGTTTAGGGATTTAGGGGTTTAGGGGTTCAATATCGCTGTGAATCAAGAAGACTTGCTACAACAAAGGGGGAGAAAGTATGGTAAAGTACACCCTGAGATTGATAGTTGGGGTTTAGGGCTTGTGCCTTGGAATTTTCCCTTTGTAGGGTAGATAAATGGTCCCTTAGTATGGGCACCCTAAACCCTAAACCCTGAACCCTTAAAAGGGGACCCCGTATATACCCTTTAGATACCCTATGAACCCCAGGGGCCCATACACCAGACCAATTAAAGAAGGTAAGGGACATATCAAACGCCCATACAACTACCCTTTGAACGGTTTTTGAATTCAGGGCCTACGCCCTAAACCCGAAACCCTAAACCCTAAAACCCTAGCCTAAACCCTAAACCCTAAACCCTAAACCCTAAACCCTAAACCCTAAACCCGAATGCCCGAATGTAGGGCCCATCATGGAGCTGGGGCGAAGGCTGCACGGCAAGCTTTGTGCCGCGCCGCAGCATTAACATGCCCAGGGTCCGACTAAATCCGACGTCGACATCGTCTTCTTGCTCGCAGAAAGTGTCCTTAATAGAGATTATAATAGGGGGTACTATAATCCCTATTGAGGACTGTGCACATGGCTTAAGAGAGGAATTGGCGGACATGACTCCGAAACCATTCATGTAAGCGGACGGGACCACTGGGGTAGGTTTGCGCCCCATATGGACTAATATTCGTATGGCGTTATAAGGATCATGCAGGGGATTCAGGGTAATAAAAATGCAGAAATGTGTGTTCGAACCTACCCCGGACCCGAGGTACCCCACAGCGACATGTTTGACTGCTTGAAAGCTTTTGGGGTCAGACTGGGCAGGCGCACAGGGATGCCTGAAAACCCTGAACCCTAAAGGCCTCCCGTCTGGGCCCCGGAGCATAAACGCTAAACCATACCTAGAGTAAGCCATGTACCTTGTAAAAAAAGTGAAGAAAGCGATAATTCGGGTACACATGGCGGTGTAAAGGGCAGATGGTGTGTTCGAGGAAGCAGGGTTCCCATTTCAGGGTTCCCCCAATGACCCAATGGTAGTGTACTTGGAAGTTCATGGGTAGTTATAGGTAGAGGTATAATTATGGCAACTGTAATTATAACCTTACTTCGGGTACCAAGAACCCTACTTATTACTATGCCGCCCCAATATGGTTTTATAAGCACAGTTCTTCTTGGTTCATAAGTACCATGAACCTCCAAGTAGGCTGCAACTCTCCATGAGTATTATTTGCTTAAGAACTCCAAAAGAATGAACAAAAAAAACGAATCCCCATATGACCCGTAATCAGGAAGACTATGTTTCTATTTTTTCGGGGTTCTTAAGCAACTCTCCATGAACCTCCAAGTTAGGGCCTCCTCTGTGAGCCCTGAGCCCACGAGGCTTGAGCCTCAATGAACTACCAGAGACTTGGGTTTTAGGGTTGAGGGTGTAGGGTGTAGGGTACATAATTTCAAATTAGGGAATGCACCGTAGCTACGCAAGTAGAAAAAAAGGGTTTCATACCTGGCCATGTGTTGCCTTTTTTTTGAAGGGTATCTGGGTCACTATTGGTGCCTAAGGACTCCCGCCTTGGGCAGCAGGTTCATAGATGTTTGGCTAAACCCTAAACATAAACCCTAAACCCTGTTTTTATCAAGGTGGGGCAGGCTCTTCTTGCTATCATTCTGGGGGGTCGGGGCTCAGAGGGTTTAGGGTTTAGGGTTTAGGCTTTAGGTTTTAGGGCTTAAGGCTCAGTGTTGAGGACTCCTTGGCGTAGAAAGCCTCCAAAAACCAGATGCAGTAGAGATTTTAGAGCAGGACCCTGGACCAGCATGGAGACACGATGGCGGCAGCCGCGGCGGTGGCTCTTCTTCCACTTCCTGGAGGCCTCCGAAAGCTTGAAGGAAGGAGAAACGCCCACATGGAGGTTCCTATAAGAAGGGTTATAGGTACCCTTAGCAAGGTTATAACCAGAGTTCTCCTGATTATAGCCCCAGGTATATGTAACCATGGACCTCCAAGTAGTGCTGATGAAGCTTTGTTGATGGGGTTTGGAGTGGGGTACGCTGTCACCCGTGGGCTTCGGCGGCCTAGCAACTGCGGGAGAAAACCATTGAGGAAGCCTTCAAGACCTCAGCCCTTGAGCTTTTAAAAGCCCAAAGCACTAAGCCCTGAGTCCGAAAAAGATAGGAGAGAGAGAGCGAGAGAGAGCGAGAGCGAAAAGAGAGAGAGAGAGATAGAAACAGAGACGGAGAGACAGAAATACAGAAAGACAATTAGAGGGACAGAGCCAACGCAAAGCGGGAGAGAGAGAGAGAGAGAGTGAGAGGTAGAGGGATGGGACCGTGGAGACAAAAAGCGTGAGGGGGCCTAGTGGTGCGCAAAGAACTGCGCAGAGCGGCCTGACCTGCTTGGCTGGGATCCCTAAACCCTAAACCCTAAACCCTAAACCCTAAACCCTAAACCCTAAACCCTAAACCCTAAACCCTAAACCCTAAACCGGGTGAGGGTTTGGGGCCCCTTGAAAAGCCTTCCTGAGCCTAGTGAAGAAGTGTAAGCCTGCTTTCTGGCGCCTTTTTGTGATGGTAAGTACTTAGGCCCCTCTACTGCTCAGAGGTCCACGAGCAGCTGTTCTATACAAAGGACCCCTAAGCCCTAAACCCTAAACCCTGGGTTCCGATTCTCACGCAGGCGCCAGAATAGGCCTGACGTGGAGGGTACCCTAAACATCAGTTCGAATTGGGCTGGAAGTAGTGTAGTCTTACTTTGGGGGTTTACGAAATGCAGGGACCACCCCTAATCTAGCAAGGACCTCAATAAGGTACCCCTATTTCGAAAAAAGACCCGTTTGGGAACTTGTTTCCCTACCCACTAACAGAGCTGGGCAATCTCAGGATTCTAAGGGCAGAATCATGGCCCCTTAAAGTTACATGATTCCTTAAACATGGTCCTCTACCTTCTTTAAAGAGTTCTGAAGTCTGGGCCCTTAGATAGGGTATACAAGGGGTATATCAGGGGTATATAAGGGGTCCCCTTTTAAGGACCCATATTAAGGGTTTAGGGTTTAGGGTTTAGGGTTTAGGGTTTAGGGTGCCCTTTGAAGGACTAGGGACTGAAGGGATGGAAACTCCACTGGGGAGCCATGGGATCTTGGGGTTCAGGGTTCAGGGTTTGGGGCTTAGGGTTTAGGATCAAAGTTGGGGTCCTCTTTTCCCAGTAACCTAGCCAGAAAAAAAAGTGGGCTTTAGGCGTTTAGGGCTTAGGAAACTTTACAAGGGAACCTGATTCCGAAACACAAGGGGAATAGGGTGCTTCTGGGTATCCCAGATGCGCGTGGGCATGATGGCCAGTGAGCCCGAAACCGACCCTAAACCCTAAAATCCTGGACCCAATGTTTAATGGACTATATGGGGGAACCAAACCTTTAGACAAGGCTACGGCAAGGGTTATGCTTGGCAGCCTAGCCTACAGCTTTGGGGACGTTCAAGTCAAAGGATGGGTCCAAGATATATTGGCCGAAGTTGTCCCGAAAACGCTCGATCCTAAATTCTGGGATCTAAACCCTAAACCCTAAACCCTAATTCCTAAACCCTAGACACTAAAGTGCAAAGTTGCCATCGTCAGGACGGACCATGCCATGAAGCTTAACTGCATATGAAGCAGGGTTCACATTTCTGTGCTTGGTGAGTGTACATAAGGCTCCTTTTTTTAAAGTGGTGCGTGTATATACTTGGTGTCCTTTTGGGGATACAAGAAGTCTAAACCTGGCCGCTTGCTCCAGCGAAGTCTTATATGCTGTGGATGTCATGATTGATCACGGCCC